ATTATGTAATAAGATTATTTATATTGTTGCAATCCAGTTATTGCAGTATTAGTATATATGGCGAAACCGACCTCGCCACTGGGCATTGGAGAAGACTGATTGCCAGCCTCCTGCCATGTGACTATGGCCCCTGGGATGTATTGCCCTTTAAAGACATGATTTGGGCATAATGGATTTGTGTTGTGCTTCTGGCCCTTTAAGAACCATCTGGGGAGTACTGTGGAGTTACTGGGTGGCCACAATTCATGTATCAGAGGCACATGGTGAGAACAATGGATGAAACACATGGTGAGAACAATGGATGGCGGCCATTTTAACTTACAGACACTGTTTGGACTTTTCTACACGGTGCCATCTCGCCGGTATTTGGTGCACAAAGACATCGTGCAGTAGTTTTAAACTATACAATAGGGGACACATTATACAGTAATTATTTTTCTTATAGCCTGTCTATTTTTCTTATTGCCTGTATATGTGACTCTGCATTAAACTGTATCTTCCAAACTACTGAACAGATCTGGGTGAATTTTGGATATGTGGTTCACCCAGATCCCCCGGTTCTGAGGATTTTTATGGGGTTATTGCATGTTTTGGGCTCCCTGTGATATGTTTTATAATACTGTATTCCTCTTCCTGTGATAATTATATTAACCATTGTGTTCAGTAATCTTATCACAGGCAGAGAGGAGGATTTTGTGTGGGAGTGTCTGTGTGTATTGTACGGATTGATTGGTTGTATTTCAAAACCCTGTGGGCAGTACTATGTTTGTGGATTGTGAATAAAAGAGACTGTATGTGCCAGTACAGTCAGTTCTGCTTGACCTCAAAACGAAGTGTCGTCTTGTTATTGGGGAATTGGATTGTATGCTCATTGCCAGGAGTGCAGTGGCGTACTAAGGGGGGGCAGAGGGGGCGGTCCGCCCCGGGTGCCAGCAGGGTGGGGGATGCCTTGAGGGGGCGCCGCCCCCCCCATGCTGCAGCCGCCCGAGCGCTCTGTAGAGAGCCTCAGGCGACTGCAGCTTTGCCCGGGCGGTGCGTCCATGAGGGCGGACCGCACTGCCCGGGCGCAGCCTGAGGAGAGGGGCTGACAGGAGGGAAACGCTCAGCGCTCCCTCCTGTCACTCCCTCTGTTGTAGCATGGCGAGCCCTCTATTGGTCCGCGGTTACAGGGAACATCTGTCTCCTGTACCCGGCCGGACTAACAGGAAGTACACACTCAGTGTGCACTTCCTTTTAGTCCGGCCGGGTACAGGAAACAAAAGCTCCCTGTACCCGCGGACCGTAGAGCGCTGGGCCACGCTACAACAGTGGTGGGGGGAGGGGAGAAAGAAATTAGGAGGAGGTGGGGGGGAAGAAAGAAATTAGGAGGAGGTGGGAGGGGGAGAGAAAGAAATTAGGAGGAGGTGGGAGGGGGAGAAAGAAATTAGGAGGAGGTGGGGGGAGAAAGAAATTAGGGAGGAGGGGGGAGAAAGAAAGATTAGGAGGAGGGGGGAAAGAAAGATTAGGGAGGGGGAGGAGAAAGAAAGATTAGGAGGAGGTGGGAGGGGGGAGAAAGAAAGATTAGGAGGAGGTGGGGGAGATTGACATTCATCACACACACATACACACAATGCACCCCTTGCACACAGAAAAACACACAATGCATTACACACACACACATACACAAGCAATGCAACTGTTACACACAATGCATCCCTTACACACACAGAAACACACAATGCATTCATTACACACACTCAATGCACCCCTTACACATATTCAATGCATCCCATATATATACAGAAACACACCTTGCAGCCCTTACACATACAAACACAATTTTACACAATGCATTCCTTACACACATAACAGGACATCCCCTACACACCCCACCCTCTGTGAACAAACTAATTGGTGGAACATGAAGGTGGACCCTGGGACCCAGACCTTGAGCTGTGTAAAGGGCCCCCCAAAAATTGAGCTGCTTCCCGTTCTCCCAGAACATTGATTTTTGTGACCACAGTTACAAACCACCTCCAGAGAGCCTGTTCTACACCAGACCAGTGGAGCCAGACTGCAGCTAGAGCCCATCATCATCCTCATCTGGTTGTAAGTAGGCAATCTAGCATATTATTCGTGGCATTAAGCTCTAATTTACCTCACATTAAAGAAACACTATAGTCCCCAGAACCACTGCAGCTTAATGTAGTGGTTCTGGTGTCTATAGCCTGTCCCTGCGGCGGCACTGCAGCACTGGCGTTAGTTAACATGGCAAATCATATGGGTGGGGCATTGTGATGTCACATGGGGGGGAGGCAAACTTTACTTTTGCCTAGGGCGGCAAAAATCCTTGCACCGGCCCTGGGTGGAGGGGGCTGTGTGAGCTGTGGCCGCACAGTGCCCCATGGTAGTTAGGGTAAAAGTGGGGCAGAGCTAAGCAAAATCGGGACGGAGCCAAACTGGCACTGGGGGCGGGGCTTAATATGGCCCTTACCCACTGCTGTTAGGAGGTGCAGCAAGATGGAATCTCTGCTTCTCCACAGGCTTCAGAGAAGGACTTCAGGGAATCTAGTCCTCCTCCATCCCACTGTCTGTAAGTAAGAGTGTTTGTGTGTGTGTGTGTGTGTGTGAGACTGTCTGTGTGTAACTGTCTGCCTGTAACTGTGTGTGTGCGTGTGTCTGCCTGTAACTGTGTGTGTGCGTGTGACTGTCTGCCTGTAACTGTGTGTGACTGTCTGCCTGTAACTGAGTGTGTGACAGTCTGCCTGTAACTGCTGTCTGCCTGTAAATGTGTGTGTGGGGCTGCAGGGATTTTGTAGAAGGGGGCGGGGGTTTTGTATTGGGACAGGAGTCTTTATAAGGGGGATAAGCAGGGGATTTGTGGAAGGGGGTTGCGGGGGTTTTGTAGACGGGGCAGTACAGGATTTGTAGAAGGGTTAGGACAGAGGTTTTGTAGGAGGGGCGGGGCAGGACAAGGGTTTTGTAGGAGGGGCTGACAGCAGTTTTGCAAAGTTTACAAATTGTAAAAAAAAAAGAAAGAAAACCTTTAACATTTTTTACAGATTTTTTCTTTTTTGGGGGGGAGGGGGGTGCCAAGCACAGGATCCGCCCCGGGTGCCAAATGCTCTAGGTACGCCCCTGCAGGAGTGTAAGCTGATTGTATGCTTTTCCTGTTCAGCTGCTTACAGCATTCATATGCTTGAGAGCATTCAAATGCTTCTCCGGTTCAGTAGTGGTGTCTGCTGCAGTGCTTGGAGTCCTCAGGAAGCGCTAGGAGCATCCTTCAATGGAGGTACCCAGTCAGGGTGCCAGGTGATCCGTTACAATATAAAAAAATGAAAAATTAAATTAAGATGAGGGAGGGTGGGAGTAAAAACTCCTGATCATGACAGATGTGTAGGTATTGTATGATGTTGGACCATGAGGAGGAAATCCAAAAAACATTAATTGGATACTAGCTCTGACTATAAGATATTGGAGACTTTCTCATACAAACCCAAAGTGTGCTCCGCCTAAGATAGTGCCATATGAGGCCTTCTTGTCAGCAACGTCTAAGGACTACACCCTTTTCAGGTGTCCCAACAACTCAATTGTTTCTGTGCTTGAGTGAAAATATACCTTGCCTCAGGGATACAATTGCCCATCCACAAAAGCTAATAGTAATGCCTGACTGCAAGACATAAGGGCATTTTCAGCTGACATGGTGATGATTTAGGAGGAGATAGCCATACTATGGTGGTTGGGGAAGACATAGGATCTGCTAGAGTGGCATGATTCTGAACTAAACTCTTTGCAGAAAAAATATGCAGATTTAAATGCTTGTATGCTAATTTTACTGTCTAAACAGGTCAAGCAACATTTGCTGGAGGGTTGTTTCTTGCTACCCAAGGCCACAAATGACAGGAGGCTCCTAAGAACATTCTGTCTACATAACTGAAGGGTACAGACAGGGATATACTTATGTGAACTACAAGAGGTTCTCCTTTATATTTGAAGGGTCGCAACTTAGTATTTATAGCGCTCTCTCCAGTCTCCAGTCCTCTGCTGTTCATTTCCCTGACCTCTTACTAAGCTCTTGCGTGTCAAGGATGTCTCCTATAAATGGCGACCCCAATGGCTATTAGTGTAAAAGAATGGTGCCACTTATGTGGCAGAAACACCAAATTTTTTTTGTTCGTTGGAACTTTCCCTGGACTATTTACCAATACAGATGCAGCATAAGTGGAACATTGATGCTATTGTACAATTAGTTCTGGGATCTTCTAACTCCAGAGTGATGGAGTTCCAAACCTAGAGTTGATTTACTTTACATTCTTTATATATGTATATAACTAGATTGACCTTCCTTCATAATTTTTTTCTTATATGTGCCTTGATTTTCTTTTCCTTTATGTGTTTTATTAGAAAATATTAGAATAAAAATAATTAATTCTACCCCTTTTCACAATGAGTTTAGGCCTAGTCATATGCTCTCTATATTAATAGCTGCTAATAGTTGTTTCTCATTTTGATATGTTAAGCTGCCATCTTAAAAAAGTGTGGGTTTTGTATGCTTGTCAATTGTACTTATTTTGAACTGCTTTCAATAAAAAAATTAAGACAGGAAGTAGAGTGTGATAATGGGATGTAGGGATGTGCATGGGAAATAAATCCGGTTCGGTTTGGCATTCCGAAATTCAGGACTTCAGCACTTCGGAACTTCGGGACTTCAGCACTTTCGTTCATTTCGGCACTTCGAAACTTCGGAACCACGACTCTTCGGAACTTCTGGAACTTTGGAACTTCAGGAAGGGTTAGGGTTGGGTTAGGGGTAGGGTTAATGGTAGGGTTAGGGGTATGGTTAGGAGTAGGGTCAGGGTAGGGTTAGGCATAGTGTTAGGGTTAGGGGTAGTGTTGGGGTAGGGGTAGGGTAAGGGTTAAGTTAGAGGTAGGGTTAGGGTGGGTTAGAGTTGGTTTAGGACTAGGGTTCGGGGTAGGGTTAGAGGTAGGGTTAAGGTAGTGTTAGGGGTAGGGTTAGGGTAGGGCTAGTGATAGGGTTAGCGGTAGGGTTAGAGGTAGGGTTAGGGGAAGGGTTGAGTTAGGAGCAGGGTCAAGGTTAGAAGTAGTGTTAGGGTAGGGTTAGGGGTAGGGTTAGGGGTAGAGTTAGGGTTAGGGGTAGGGTTAAGTTAGGAGCAGGGTAAGGGTTTGGAGTAGGGTTATGGTAAGGTTAGGGGTATGGTTAGGGTTAGCATAGGGTTAGGGTAGGGTTAGGGTTACCCTACCCCTAGCCTAACCCTACCCCTAACCCTACTCCAACCACTAACCCTACCCCAACCCCTAGCCTTAAGCCTACCTCAACCACTAACCCTACCCCTAACTCTACCCCAACCCTGTTTTGCCTTTTTCAGAAATTCAAAGCACTTCGGCACTTTTGAAATTTGGTTCAGTTCGGCATTCCGAAATTTCGGAACTTCAGCAATTCGGTTCGGTTCGGCATTACGAAATTCAGCACTTCAGAAATTCGGCACTTCGGACATTCGGAATTTGCATTCTGAACTAAACTAATTGCACATGTCTAATGGGCTGGTGTGGCCTCAAATTGGGTAATTTATTTGTAGTTTCTCCTCGATTCTTATGTAGTCAGTCCTCCCTTGAGACCCATGTTGAGTGCATGCCTGTCTCCTACTTTGAATATTATGTTAATCCTTTTTCCACTTCTCTCCATGTATAGAGAGTCCTTCCTCTGAATTCCACCCTAAATGGCTGCATTTGTGCTATCAACTCTTTAACACCTGAACAGGTTGATCCTTATTAAATTTTACATTTATACCGCATTGCAGTTTAAATGCAATTCTCCTAATATTGGGTCCTTACACTTTTCTGTCAAGTTAAAATTATGATCATGACATTCACATTGACTTATATTATATTGTTGACTAATATTAGGTGATACTGTATAACGTATTTCACATACACAGTCTCTTTGGATTTAATAGTTACACAATCTGTTAAATCTCTTATGCAAGAGAATTGCTGCTCAAGGTAGTTGTGGGTACTGTTTTTTTATGTCAAAAAAATGATAAGTAAAAAAAAGGATGCTGAGAAATTGATGAACTAGAGGGGTGTAGACAAGTTTAGCAAAGTTCAGATTTTTTCTTAAACTCTACTCTAATGCATTATTCCAAATGGCAAATTATTAACAAAAGATATTTTTATTTAGTTTTATTGGTGTTTTAGACATCTCCACAAATTCTACTTATATAACTACTGCAGATCCTGCCATTAGTTAGTTACCACCGTCTAAAATACTTATCTGTTGAGAATCAAATGCTGCAGATTATAATTACATTATTACAATGCCACTGGACTGGTCATACATGTTTTGGCTTATGCAAGAAACGTATACTTGGTTTACACATATCTATCAACAACTTTGTAAGCTTGACGTATTAAGATTTGCATATCTCTTTTTTTGCTTTCCTATGCGACCGGCTGAATGCGCGCGCAGCTCTTGCCGCGCGTGCGCATTCAGCCGACGGGGAGGAGAGGAGGAGGATCGGAGGAGGAGAGCTCCCCGCCCAGCGCTGGTAAAAGGTAAGTTTTTACCCCTTTCCCCCTTCCAGAGCCGGGCGGGAGGGGGACCCTGAGGGTGGGGGCACCCTCAGGGTACTATAGTGCCAGGAAAACGAGTATGTTTTCCTGGCACTATAGTGGTCCTTTAAAGAAAGCTTCAATATGCAGACATGTACTATATCCAATTAATAGTAATGCAAATTACATATTATTTTGCAATTTTAAGATTTTTCACAAAAGTCAATCATTAGTAACATTGATTTAAAATGTATAAAAATGCATATATATATATATATATATATATATATATATATATATATATACACATGTACATGCCTCTTACCTACAGTATTTTGGCTGCATACTCAAACTGTAAATCAGAAAACCATTTTAATTTCTTCCTTAAAACATTGACTTAATCTAGCATATATCTTTTGTTCTTAAGGAAAAAGAAAATCTATTACGCACTGCACATCTATGGTTGAAAAAAGTTAATTACTAGAGGAGCATCTGTCTTAGAACACACTGGTATGGTGCATCTCATCACTTAATTGCATATTTTCAGAACAAGTATTAAAAAGATACTTTTCAATAGCCTGATTCATTGCATTCTTGACCAAGGGTTAATTATATGTTAAAAGGCTTGTAATGAAATTGCATGCCTTTTGGAGAACAAGGTATTAGGAAAAAAGCTAAATTGTTTAAAATGGTAATAGCAAAGGTATTTTTATATATTTAAGTGAAGCATTAAATTGTCTGTAGCTCCATAAGTGGATTGATTATAACCTCACTTCTGTATCTAAGACTGCACAATGACTGGGGTCCAATCATGTTTTAATCAAGTTTCAAATAGATCAGTTGCTTGAAATTCTGTATGCTAAACAGTTAGAGTTCCCAGAAGAGTTATTTTAGGAATAATCACTTTATTTTATTTTGTAATTTTTTTTTTAGTTTTTCATAGATTATACATACATGCTTGTATCGCCACAACAGCAGTTACAGGCTTATCAAAAGGCATAGTTTAACAGATGCATTGTAAAGAGGAAGAGTGCACATTTTTATTATTATGTAGAACATGAGTTGTAGGAACAAGCTAATTTATAGTGGCTGTGGTCCGTGAAGCTGTCGCAGGTTAATGACTCGCCACCACTAAGTGTTTGTATGTAATTGTGCTAAACCACGGGGGTTCACGGGCTTTAAGAAACGTGCGTGGGGTTGCAGCCGTTAATAAACAGTAGGGGGGAAGATTCCATCTCTGCTGTACCCTAGGGTATGATATAACTAAAACCCAAGCTGAGACTGCTGCCTATTGGGAAGTAAGACCATACCTGGGACCTATATGTGCTATCCCATGTTTTACAGCCCCTGACCATAGGGAGCCGGGGCGAGGGAACCCACCTTGTAATGGTTGCATGTATGTCTTAAACGGTAACTTTGCAACAGAAACATAAGTAAGGTAAAGAAAAGATAACAGGAAAAATCAACATAACTGCAGGGCACTTAAAACAAACACCATTGCTTGAGAGTACTGCATAACTTGGGAGATACCTTATTGTTGAGGTGTAATTCAGGTAGGTGCCCCCCGCCTTTCTCCTCTATGTGGAGAAAATGGGACAGTCCTTGCAGGGTCCCAAGTGTGTTGCTTGGAGTATTTTGCTGTAGCTACCAGTTGCAGTGGGAGTCCCAGAGCTTGCAGGAAGGAGGCCGCTTCTGTCAAGGAGGTGAGTCTAAGTGTGGCCCCATTTTTGACCACCGTTAGAGTCCTAGGCAAGCACCATCTATGCTTCACACCAGCTGTACGTAGTTGGTTGGTGATCGAGCCCAAGGATCTTCTCCACTGCAGCGTGTTTCTGGTTAAATCCTGGTAGAGTGTGATGTGGGATGACTCAAATTTGAGCAGGGTTTTGTTTCTCACTGCGGTCATTATGCAATTTTTGTCGGAGATCGAGTGGTAGCGTATGATCACGTCTCGCATGGCCATAGGTGGAGCCTTTGCAGGCTTGGGGACCCAGAAGCAGGTGTCATACATTAGCTTTTTGGCCTGTGTGTTCCGGCAAGATAGTGGTCAACAGACGCTGGAAGTAGTGGGTTATGTCATCAGGGACCCCTTTGATCTTCAGATTGACTCCCCAGTTGCGATCTTATGCAAGATCAAGCTTAGTGAGGATCATAGGGTGGGAGGTTTGCAGTTGGAGCATAGAGTCTATGAGACCCTGGACCTCCTGTCACACATCTGTGACATTCTCCTCGGAGGCCTGTATCAGGGCCATCACCGCCTAAACTTCGGTGCGTAGCAGACCCTCATCAAGTGCAAACATCTGTCTCATCTCCAACATTATGCTGCAGATATCTTCTTTCGGTGAGATTCTGTGTATCCCCTTCGGACGATGTGCTGAAAGTGCCATGGGTGTTGCAAATTCCTTCCCCGTCTCCATTGGTAAGTCAGAGTACGTGGAGCAGGCCTCCGGTCTTGGGGTGCTGGGGCCCTATGGGCCGTAGGGTGTTGTAGCATATCTCCAATATCTCGAGTGTCTTTATTTCCACCCACTTGTGGTTTTTGTGACTGCCGGCCCATTTTGTCTGTGCTGTGTGTTGGATTCTCGGCAGGCAGCTGGGGAGGGACAATGCCTCTAAGGCCCAGTCAAGTGTGAAGGCCTTAGTAGGCGGGAGGGCAGGGTAAGCCCCCGATCGTTGGTGAGTTCTCCTGCGGGTCAGATTTACAGGAAAGGCATGTGCCGGTAGCTGACTTCTTCGGGGAGAGAAGGTATGTTGGCTTTTTCCCCAGTTTCGTTCTGAAAATCAAAAGCGGTTCAAGCGTCAGGCTTGTGAACAAATTATAAATCTTAATAACTTGAGTAAACCATGATATCATAAAAAAATAAAAAGAAGTTAAAATAGATAAAATAAAGTTAAGCAAGATAAGCACCCAAAAAAAGATAGTAGGTCAATAGATAATCTGCGAGCTGAATCATTAGTCAGCAAGCGGGGGTCTATCTGATAAGCAGTGTACCACCTCAAAAAACATACCAACAGTAAAAATGTGCCCAAAGGTACAGTGTAACTCAATGGGCAATGTGACACAGTGTGCATACTTATGTAGAAACATAATATCTACCATGTAAAATGGAATGTTTTACAATATCCGCAAAGGCCAATCTAAAAAACAAAACAAAAAAAACAAGAGATATACAATCTAACATAAGGAAAAAAACATTTAGTGAACATACTACATAAACATTATAAACTAACCTAATCCTGCAGGTGAGCTAAATTATGTACATACCACATCCCTGAATAGCCATAATAATAAATAAATACACATATATCTAAGCAATTGTATACCGTAATTATATGAAACACATACAGTATATACAATCAACAAAATATAGATTAAAAGCAGAGCAGCACAGAGGTATCACAAGTAAATAAAAAAAACCCCTATCTTTAGGGTTATCTTTAGGTAAAAAAGCAGTGCAATACATTATGCTTTAATATTTGTTCTATGATGTGGTATAGGAAAGTTCACAAGATCTTCTGGTCATTTGACCTTAGTCTCAAACTTCTGTCTTGTCTTAAGTTTTGCCTACGGGTGCCTGCAAAAATGTAGGATAACATCTGAAGTACGATGTTTGTCAGTTGCAAGATGGGAATTCTGTGATAAATGTGGAAACATACTGTCTCAGAATTGTGCCCAAGACAGACTTTTGACTTTACTGAGGTCCAAGTCACAGGTTCTTGTGGCTGAGTTTATCACTTTGGTGTGGTCTCTTATATGAAAAATTAAACTCTCTGTCTGTCTGTTTGTCTATCTATATCTATTTATCTATCTA